ATTACAAATAATCTAATATTATATATATATATATATATATAGACATATATATATATATATATTTTTTTTATTTCAGTAATTTATAAACTCTACCGAGTTTCTAGCATTGGAGTAAATTCGGTAGATTTCATAAATTAATGCATTAATTATGGTCTTTTACCAGCATAATTAACTCTTTTTCTAGCTTCACCTTCTACTGGATTTCCCCAAGTATCTGTTCTTGGTCCCATTCTTTTCACTTCTTACACCTCTCCTATTTCTAATATCATTACTTTTGGCTTACTCTTTCATCATTACGCTGATGACACATGTCTAATAGCTGAATGGAACATTCAGATTCACACAAACACACACACACACACACACACACACATACATACATACAACATACATACATACATACATACATACATACATACATACATACATACATACATACATACATACATACATACATACATACATACATACATACATACATACATACATACATACATACATACACACACACACACACATACATACATACATACACACACACACACATACATACATACATAAATACATCAAACGTCGTCATCAAAAAAATATTTATCGTCATCATTAAAAATATTTTTCACGTCCACGCTGTAAACTAATCGCTTCATACATCACATACATCACATACATACACGTACATACACACATTTATTGATTTGCAAAAAACGTATTAAAATGCATGAATAAATTGATCAAAATATTAAAGAACGGCAAGATGAATGGCATAGATGTATATGAGTGTCGCTTAAATAAAATGTCCTCCAAATTTATTGCCCGGCCAACAACAGCACGCACATCAGCATGCCTACCGCCATCCAGCAGAACTGATCAAGTAAACAAATCAGTTCAAATGTTTAAAGATCCAGTATTTCCTCCTCCCCATTTTAGAAAATAATTATTCAATATAAAATAATTTCAATGTCGTGATTACAAACGCATATCACTAGGGAGAAAATGTTGCAGAATATAACCAAATATTTAAAAGAAATGATGAAATATTATTTATTTTTTATGATGTGTTCAGTTTATGACTAAGGTTTATGCACCGTTTTGAATTACAGAAAGTCGTGTTTATGCTCGAGTTTAGTTTTTATTTTGTGGAGTTTGCATGTTTTGAATGCTAATGGGAATCTGGTTATGCTAGTGCGTTGACTGGGTTTGATTGCAAAAAGATCCGCGCCTATCATATGCAATGCGTGTGATGTGTAGATTCATGATGTATATAGATATATGTGCTGTATGTTGCTGATACTTTTGAGAATAAATTAGGAAAGAATTAGAAACAACAAACACAACGCAGTAGTCTATAAAAAAACTTCTCACTAAGAAAAAAAAACCAAAGAACTAAAAACTCTTAGCGAGTCCTCAAATAAATAGTGTAGGTTTAAAAATATTAGCATAACAAAATTTACCAAAGTAAAAAAAACATTGATGTTTCAGTAATTTGCTGATAAGATTTTTTGTTTCAAAGCAATTAAATAATAATAATTGTGTTCGGCTTTTGAAAACTGAAATTTATTTGATATCTTGACATTTATTATACATTTTAAAGTATGTTTTAATGAAAAAGAACATCGCTATTAATAATACTATAGTGACACACAGTCACACACACTATCTTTTTTTATGTTTTTCATGCCTTACTCAAGTTTGTAAACGCTGAGGCCACTTTTCGCTCTCGTACATGTTTTCAATGTTTCGATCACCATTTGAGGAATTCAACAAACATGATATTAACTTGAGAAGCATTTTTGAACTGGTTTCTTACAAGTATAAAACTAGCAGTGAAAATGTCATAATTATTGTCTCAGCTTTTAACAATAGTTAGCTTAAAACTGTAAAAACATGCATGGAAGCAACACATGACTAATAAAAAGAAAGAAAAAAGAAAGAAAGAAAGAAAAAGATTGAGAGAGGAGTAGGAAGGAATTGGCTGTTGATCATGCAGCGAACAGGACACCACGTGGACCCATACATCAACGAACCATCATCAGACGTGCCAATATCAACAACATTCTACCATTCTTTTGCTTTGTTGTTTTCTTAATTCGCTCTTACATTTTTTATTTATAATTGATTTTTCCATCCAAACCACCCAACTTTTATGAATAGTTTTCCACAATCTTTTAAAAACTTTGTCATTTTTCAAAAATTAAACAAACTAAATATTTGCATTTCCGTTTCATTAAATGTTTATATTAATTTTTGTAAATGCGCTTGTTTATCTACCACAAAACATTCTAAATAACACGTAATCATATTTTGTGGACAATTACCCAGCAAACAAACAAATGGAGAACACAATGAATATATTTTGATAACAAATAAAAGGATGTCTATTTTTACTTAGTTTATGCGCTCAGGTCAAATGTATAATGAAAGAGGACAACCAGTGCTTGCATGATTGTGTGTGTGTCTCGTTGTGTCTCGTGTCTATGTTCTTTATGTGGTCTCTGCATCAGTCGGCATACAGCTTATGCAGGCACATCAATTTTTATTGTTCGTTGTTCGTGTGATTCTTGTCAGTTTGTTGGTGGTTTTGTGTTTGCTTTCGTTTTTACAAGTTTGTAATTTAAATTTTTATATGTTTTGTTTTAAACAATTTGCTTCCCAGATTGGGAAACAGTTTCACATCAATTTTACGCAGTTTTTGAAATTTATAAATTATCTAAATTGTTTTTTCATGTTCTATCAAAACATCAGAAAAATTTATTACCTAAACAATTGCTTGTTTGTATTCGTTTGTATTCGACCAGTCTCACTTGAATAATTCACATTAAAATGTTATCTGAAGAAACACACGTACTCAGTATCGCCTGATTTATGGCGAGAAAGAGAAAGCGCAATTATTCATTGATATATGATTCTATGAAACACGTAGAACAAATGCATGCAAGTATTATTGACTGTTCATGCTATCCAACAAGCCTTTCTGCATTGACAGCACAACATCCAAACTTAATGACCCGTCATATTTCTTCCTTGCAGTTTTCGCCTTTACAAAATTTATAAAATCGTGCTTTTTTCTCAGTAAAGTTTATTTTTAATTTTCAAGACTTTGTTGTTATTGATTGTAAAATAAATCTATGCCATCTATGTTGAGGGCGTTGATGTCTCATCTACCTGTCTCAATATCTTCATTTTCATATTTTGTTGATTTACTTTGTTCACTTTTCTTAATGTTGCTTTAATTTTGTTTTGTTTTTTTTTTATTTAAAAAAATTTATTAAACCAACTGATTGGCGGGCTACTTGTATATTTGTTCAGCTGTTTCTTCTAGCATTCTTCAACTTAAGTTTTAAGTTAAACTTTTGAAAGATTGCAACAAGCTCATGTGACAAAAATATCAATATTAACCAAAATTTCAGCTGTACTTTACTAATATCGACATCGTTATCACCACTGATGGTCATTATTTTTAAGATGGTTGTTATCAAGCAAACACTATTTCTCCAGTTATCGTCTTATCACGAGTAGTCATCAATCGATAAAATGATCTGAAGATTGCTGTGATCAAAACGTGTTTGAAAGCATTGTAGAATGTATTGAATGCCTGGGATGTGTTTGAATGTGCATGGGATGTGTTTGAAAAAATTGCAGAATGCATGGGATGTATTTGAAAGCACTGCCGAATGCATCAATTTTTGGTTTTGTTTCCCAATTTCAGACCTATATCAATTCTATCACACAATCTTCACCAACAAACGGTAATATTTTAACCAACAGCATACAATCTCATCAGTGTGGTGTAGTTATTTATAATTTCTCCGACCATTTTTTTAAATTTTGTTTAATGAAAACTCTGACATGAGTAGGAAAGTAAACTTCTTTCACTAAGTCCATATGCCCATTTTGTGTGTATTTTGCTTGCTTATTGTGTTTGTACTGTTTGGATTTAATGTTTTGCAAATATGCGATTTTGTTCGTCACTCTTAGTTTTAATTTAAGGTATTTTTTAAATATATTGTTGCTTTTTAGTTAGGGCGACAAAACACCATAGCTGGCACTGAGCATGAGAATAGGAGCTGGTTTCTCTAATAGAAATAAATTTATAGCATGTCTAGTTAGACCGTTGCGAGACACGGCGGACAAGTTCGAGCTGAATATCATATCAGCTTTTTCGTCAACCGATGGCGTTTTATGTAAGAGTCACGTGATAATATTACCATCAGCCACAAATACTGCAAACATCGGTTTATGAAAATGCAAAATTACTTTAAAATATTGCAGTGGGCTATAATCTTTTATGCAAAAGAACGTACTTAACCAGAAAAATTGTAGACTGTTTTTTTTATTTTTATATTGAAAAACAAGTTGATTAATAGTTACATATTATTCTGTGCGAGTGGTAGTTCTTGTATTTCATAACAAACTTGAGTTAATTTGCGGTTTTCTGGCGTTATTTTTGTTTCAAAGTAATTTTAAGTTGCTTTAAATTTGTTGAAGTTCGTTATTTTTCTATAAGTTTTTTTGAATTAGTTTTAAATTCGGTTAATTTAGTGAATTAAAAACTAAATTATAATTGGAAAATATTACTTAAATTTTGACCTGGTTTGCTTGTCTGTAATTCGTTGACGAGGATAAGTTTATCTGCATTGTTTTGAAAACTAGTTCAATTAATAGGTTTACCTGTGTTGTTGTTTTTGTGTACGTACATTATGGGTACCCGAGACAAATGTAAATGTAAAAACACTACTAATAAAGACTGTCAGCATTGTAAACTGTGTGAATTGATTTATCACGAACTTTGTTCAGGTTTGCGATGTGCTCAATGTGGAGAATCATTTCATTACAAATGTTTGTCGATGACAAGTGAAGATTATGACTTCAAAAAGAAATGTCGCAACTTAATCTTTAAATGTGATAATTGCATTGATTCCTTGCCATCCGTAGAGCAACTGGTAAAGAATTTTGATGAAAATAATAAAGTTTTGCTTAAAGAGATAAGTAAATTACATAAAATGAATGAAAGCATGAAGTCCGAAATTAATGATATCAAAGTGAAACTTGTTGCTGAAGATAATAATGAATTGCGTACGTTAGAAAAATCAAGAGTAGAATTATGCGATGAAATGAAAAATTTCAATACTGAATTAAAATCTTCCTGGTCTGAGGTCGTCAGTCGTGAAGTAAAAAAAAACATCGATGTAATAAATATCGAGGTAAAGAAAAATGTTGATGTGATAAATACAGAGGTTAAATGTTTGCAAAAAACATTAAACGAATCGGCTGAACAAAAGGAACGCGAGAATAATATGATGATCTTCCGCTTGAAAGAAAGTGATGCTGACAAAAAACACGTTTTGAAGATCCTTAACCACCTTTCTGACGGTGTTATAACTGACAAGAATGTCATCAAATTAATAAGAATTTGTAAAAGAAGTGAACATGTCATTAGACCAATATTGCTAAAATTTGATGATTTAAGACTCAAGGATTTACTTTTTAAAAATATAGGTAAAATGAAAACAATTGGTGATGATCTCGCTCAGGGCAGGAAAGATATAGCAATAATAGGTGGTAGATTGGGCGCTGGATCGAATATAAGTACATTGGTTTTTAATAATTGTAACTTAAAGCATAAAGATAATTATGGCATCTCAAATGATTTTGTGATTTTTGGTTTATTAAATATTAGGTCATTGGTTGGGAAAGTTGATAGTATTTATGAATTGATTTACAGTGGTATGGATGTTTTGGTGTTAGTGGAGACATGGCATGGGTTGGCTGGTGATGTTGCAGTTGGGTTGGCCAAGCCACCTGGTTTCTCCTTTGTCGATTTTGTAAGACCGCATGATCCTGCACACGGGGGTTTGGTTATTTATTTCCGATCCACTTTTGGTTGTAATAAAATAACTCTGCCGGTGTTCACTACTTTTGAGGCCATTGCAATAAAGTTAAAAATAGAACAATATAATTTCATATTGCTATCCATATACAGACCTGGTTCAGCACAAATATCTATGTCATTTTTTAACGAACTTATATCAGTATTAGAACACATTACAATGATGAACTCGAATATTATCTTGATGGGTGACTTTAATGTTCATGTGGAGAGAATGGATGACCCTCATACAATACGTTTGTTAGAAATATTTGATATGTTTGATCTGGTCAACCATGTGAAAGGCAAAACTCATTCTCATGGTGGTACACTGGATCTTATTGTCAGCTCCCGTAGTTTTCCTGTTGCTGAGATATCGATTCATCCCAGTGAAGTATACTCCGACCATGGTTGTATAGTAGCAAAAATAACGATTCCTCGATCATGCGGTAATTTTGTAAAGAAATTGGCTCGATCATGGAAAGATCTAGATGAAGATCAGTTCAAAGAAAGCATCTTAAAATCGGCTATTGCGGGTACATGTTAGGGGAGTGATGTTGAAGCTGAACTGACGTTGTTTGAGAATGAACTAAAAAGTATAGTTGACAAATTAGTTCCACTCCGGGAGATTCATATCAAATGAAATCATGCTGCACCATGGTTTGATGCGGATTGTTTGCGTGCAAAAAGAGTGTGCAGGAAACTTGAAAGACATTATAGAAAATGTTCATCAGCTACAAGTCGTAATAACTGGGTGAATTCATTGAGGCAAAAACATGCGCTTTTTTCTGATAAGAGTACACATTTTAAAAAAAATCAATTTAAGAACATCAACAATTCTAAAGATTTTTGGCAGGCAGCTAACAGAATCCTATGCGGAGACAAGAATAATATCAATTCTGATGTTGATCTAAACCTGACTCCTTCTGAATTCATGCGTTTTTTTGTTGATAAAACAAATAAAATTATTCGTACCACAGATGTTGATTATGATCCATCACTCGATGACAATAGGTCAAATATCAACTGCCTTTCATCGTTGCCAAAAATTACTCAGACTGATCTCAAAAGGATTATAAATGGTTCACCATCAAAAACAAGTGTTCTTGATATAATTCCAACACACATTTTAAAAAAACATATTGACTTGTTTATCAGTTACCTAACCAGTTTTGTTAATTTATGTCTGGAATCAGGACAGTTTCCTTGTGGTCTGAAGCATGCGGTGATTAAACCAATTTTGAAAAAAAATAATTTGGATGGTAATGATATTTCAAACTATAGGCCAATATCGAATCTTTCATTTATTTCAAAGATTATTGAGCGTGTTGTTGCTGAAAGTCTGTTGACTCATTTAACAAAAAACGGCCTTATGCCAATTCACCAATCAGGCTACAGGCGATTTCATTCGACAGAGACGGCGCTGTTACATGTTTTTTCCATACTGATTTCAGAAATGGATGCCAAGAATATTTCACTGTTGTCATTCCTAGATATGACAGCGGCATTTGATTGCGTCAATCACAGTATATTGTTGAAGAAGTTATATTATAATTTTGGAATTTGTGATTCGGCATCTGCATGGTTCCAGTCTTACTTACTAGACCGTACTCAGCAAGTTCAGTTTAAGGATGTTTCATTAGAAATAAGCGTGGTATCTTCTGGGGTCCCTCAAGGTTCGGTGTTAGGACCCATTCTGTTTTTGCTATACACTTCGGACTTAGCCAAGATAATAAATTCACATGGATTGAACTATCATGCGTTTGCTGATGATGTTCAGGTGATTGTAACATGCCGGTCCCAAGTGTTTCAGCGTGAAATAGATAGATTTGTTACATGTTTGATGAACGTAGAACGCTGGATGTCAAGCAATTCTCTTAGATTGAATCAGTACAAAACCCAGTTGCTCCCGGTTGGCACTTGGCAGCAGCTATCAAAACTAGATGTTCACTCTGTAAAAGTAAAAAATTTTGAAATAACTTTTAGCAAAACCGCATCAAATTTGGGAGTTTTGTTTGATTCTCATCTTACAATGAAAGAGCATATCAAAAACATATCAGTTTCTAGTCTGGCTCATCTTAGAGGCTTGTACAGAGTCAGACGATATTTAGACAGGGCTGATATAGAAACATTGGTACATGCTCTTATAACGTCCCACCTTGATTATTGTAATAGCTTGTTTTACAAATTACCCCAGACATCAATAGCTATTCTGCAATCAGTTCAGAATCGTGCGGCTAAACTGGTGACAGGCAGACTAAAGTTTGATCATGTTACGCCGATATTGAATTAACTTCACTGGTTATCAATCAATAAAAGGATAGTCTATAAAATAGCATTAATAACATTTAAATCATTAAATGGCTTGGCTCCAGATTATATGTCCGATCGGTTTGTCAAGAAAACATCCTCCACGAACACCAGTTTAAGATCAGATGATAGGAACCTTTTGATGGTACCAGCTCATCGTTTGCAGACGGGATTGCGTGATATTGCTGTTGCCGGACCGATGATTTGGAACGCTCTGCCAGATCCACCGAGAATACCAGAAGTTTCTCTTGACAGTTTTAAAAAGGATTTAAAAACTCATTTATTTTCTTTAGTTTAAAATTTTTGGTACATTTTTTGTTTTGTTTATCCACTCGTATAATGTTTTACTGATGTGAGCGCTTTTGAGATTTTTCTTTTCTTTTTTAATTAGCGCTATATAAATGATCTTTAATAATAATAATAATACTTAAACTAAATTTTAATAAAGTAATTTTCAAACACGTTTATTTGTACGTTCATAGTTTTACTTTTTGGTTTGTAAATTTCATGGAAGGAAAGAATGGAGAATGAGAAAAACAAGAAGGAAAATGCGGGAATGAGGTAAAAAATTAGGGAATGGGAGTTTTAGGAAACGTTGCTAAGAACTGGAATTTTTTGGGAAACTAATTTACTTGAAAATGCTATTATGTATCAAATAGATTAACGTGCGTTTTATAAAAGAATAAATTGAAAAGTTCAAAGATTAAGTATTTCTGTTAACAACTGTTCCAAATTTAAATGTTGGGATTGTTATAAAATTGGTATTTCTTCAAATTAAAAAAATTTATAGAATTGACAACGAAATGTTGCATATATAATTTTGATTAATTAAACACAAAACTGAAATGAAAACTGCGGCCAATCAAAATAAATTAGTTGTTGTGAAGTGGAGTTAGGTGGTTAAAATGTCAAAAATTTAAAAAAAGAAACACATTAAAGACCGAAAATATAAAGAAGCACTCGGGAAATGCATGTTTTATAATTTTCATTTGACGCTGTTACGTGTGGTTGAACTTCGTGTTCTGGTTCATCGTTTTTATGAAGTTGGCCTCTGTCAATTCCATGTTATGAACGCTTTCAGTTCATCTACAGAGCAACGGCATAGACAGAAATCCGCTGTGAGAGGTTTAAATTTGTTGAAAAAGCGTTCTTTTATTTTGCATATCACCCAATTCTTTACAAATTTTGCAATGAAACCAGTGATTTTGTTTAAAATTAAATTTAATTTTATTATTTTGGAACCCGAAAAAGTTTTCAATACAAGTTTTTACAAATTCATTTTTATAGATCTTATTGAAGAAATATTTTTTGCGATTTTGTTTTTTTTCATCGTTCTGCCAAAGGATAGTGGTCGCCAAGCGTGTTTGTTGCATCTCATTATAGCGTTCGTACACTCCATTAATAAAGAAATATTTTTGGAAATGCAAATTATAACGCAAAGTTGCATCATGCCGGCCGGTCAACCAACATCAGCAACCGACGCAAAAAAATTTTCACTTCATTGTTTGCCGCTTAAATAACATTTAGTAGATTTAAATTTTTAAATTAAAATTTTTTACATAACTTTTTGTTGTTAAATCTAGCATTGAATTGTAAATTGATTTATTTGTTTAAAAAACCGAATTTTGAATATAATATAATTTTTTTTCAGTTTAGTACTCATCTAAAATAATTCCACTATCAAAAATATTCATCTTGACTGGTTATTTCATGTTGCAACGCTAAAACCTGGCATGTAAACAAATGCAAACATGGCGACGAAGCATAAATGACAACGGGCAACAGCAAGGCTAGTTTACATCATCGGTCAGTTCACGTGAAAGTATTCTCAGAAACATGCTACAAAATGAAAAAATTTTTCATCAATTAAGATTTCGATGATTTTATTGAATGTTATCATATGTATAGAATATAACAATCTATATATATATATTATATTTATATGTATATAGATGCTATGCATTACGAACAAACAAACTAGTTATTTAAAGCCCAACTTCCCAAACCACTTTTTACACTTTTGTTATCATAATTAGCATGTTAATTATACAATGAATATTTAAAACTAATAGCTAAAAAGAATATGTTGAATTACGACATACTGACTGTAACTTACAAAATGATACATTCATACATACAAAAACATACATACATTCCAATCCCAGTGGAAGCGGGGTGGTGCAGGTTGACGAGGGGTCAGGCCCTTCACAATCAACCTCCTCTACTTTTTCTCATTTATTTTATTCGTGTTTCGTGTTGTTTTAAGAGTTTTGTTAGCTCCGCTAATATGTATATGTCACTCCATTGATTTCTTACACCCTTCTTGTTTAAATTTACTACATTAGTCATTTATAATGTTATTATTTGCTCAATATTTTGACTGGCTCTTAATTGTTTGATGTGAATTTATTTTTTATTATTTAGATAAATCAAATTTTTTAAAATTCTGGCTTGAGCAATTTGTAAAACAAATAATATTTTCCACGTCCACCAAACATTTTAGAACTTTGAAAAATTGTAACGATTGTTATAATTGTTATTATTTTTAAAATATCAGTTTGTTTGTTTAAATATATATCATTAAAATATTTTAGTCAAATTCAAATCATGCGCAAAAAGTTAAACTCTTAAAAAAAATTAATTGACAGTCATCGATTCTACTATGTTGTGATTTTAAACACAGTTGTCAATTTACGAACTCAATTAAAAATTGGACACGTTTCAAGCAAAAGTAACTAACACACAGGAGGACAAAATTTGACATCTAAATTTTTTATTTTTCGAAATTAATATAAAGGGTTGGGCAGTGACGATGAAGTGAGGCTGGTGCAGAAGTTGTTCCTTGAAGATGGCTACAACCCGCTCATCAGACCAGTCAAGAACCTCAACGACACTGTTACTGTCAAGTTTGGAATGGCCATGATTCAACTGATTAATGTGGTGTGTATCTTATTGTTGTTGTTGTTGTTGTTGTTTTTGTCGTTGTTGTTGTTGTCGTTGCTACTAATTTCTGTAAATTAAATAGTTAATTGCACTGTTTGATATGTTAGTAGGTTGTGAGATGAGGTTTGCCAGCCAACATGTCTGCGTATTGTTTCAATTTAATAATAAAATAATATAAAGGCAAAATGGCGCTTGATAAATGAAGTGATGAATGTTAAAAAACAGACCACTCGAATTGACCATTTGAAGTTAAATGATTGCACAATCTCCGATAAAAAAGAGATTTGTAACACACTCAACCGAAATTTTATTGATACGATAAATTCACTCCAAGGCGGATTTAACCAGAATTTGCAGCATGAAATGTTTTCAGATCAGAATATCAACACATTCTATTTAGATGAAATCAATACTGCTGAGTTGTTCAGCATTGTCAATTCCTTCAAACCTAACAAATCCACGTCTGATGATGGTTTCAATATGTTTATGGTCAAACTGTTTGTGGACGAAATCATTGTTCCACTAAAGCACATATGCAACCTGTCTCTAAAATCGGCAACTTTTCCTGATCGGTTCAAATTAGCCAAAGTTATTCCAATACATAAAAAGGGAGATAAAGGAGATGCTGGCAACTACAGACCAATTTCTTTGTTGTCTCCATTTTCTAAGATTCTCGAAAAAATAATGAGTGTTAGAATGATGACCTTTCTCAACCGCTTTAATATCTTATCCAGCAATCAGTACGGGTTTAGAAACGCTCACTCGACAGAGTTGGCAATTGTTGAGCTTGCCCATCGTATACTAATGAATATGAATGATAGATACGTTACGATGGGCATTTTCATCGATCTGTCGAAAGCTTTTGATCTGATCAATCACTCGTTGCTTCTCAAAAAGTTAAATTTTTATGGTTTTCGTGGAAAAATTAATCAATGGTTCAGGAGTTATCTGGAAAATAGACTGCAATACGTTTGGCTGGAAAATCATGTCTCGGATGTCTTGCCTTTGAACTGCGGAGTCCCACAGGGTTCCATACTCGGTCCATTACTTTTTATCATTTTTGTTAACGATTTACCAAATGTTTCATCTGCTTTTCGCTGTATTTTGTATGCTGATGATACTAACATATTTTATTCATCGAAAAATCTTATGAATGAAAAATTACTTATAAATAGTGAAATGATTAAATTTGAACATTGGTTTAATATAAATAAATTATTAATTAACACAAGTAAATGCTCTTATACTATTATGGGTCCTAAGATTGTAACTAACACTATTCCTGATTTAAATATTAACATATGTAACCACGCAATAAAAAAACTTGATTCGATAAAATTTTTAGGTGTTTATTTACAAAGTAACTTATTGTGGAATGATCACATATTAGATATTACTTGTAAAACCAATCGATTTCTTTATATAATTAACAGGATTAAAAATAAACTTAATAAAAATACACTTGTTATTCTATATAATAGTTTCATTCTACCTTATTTATCTTACTGTAATATCATTTGGGGTAATAGCCCGTCGTATATTGTTAATCATTTATTTATTATGCAAAAATGGTTCATTAAAATATATTATAATTTAACCTTAATGTCTCATGTTGATCATTTGTTTTTAAAATTAGACATTTTAACAGTTAAACAATTGAACATTTATTATTCATCGATCTTTATGTTTAAATTGATTAACAACTTATTACCTAATTATTTTGTTAAATGTTTTCATCTAAGATCTAACATTCATTCTTTATCGACTAGGCAAAATAATATTTTTTACATATACCCAAATAGGTTAAATATCTACCAACATAGTATATTTGTAATTGGCCCAAGTATATGGGATGGAATTCTGCCAGTGGACATTAAAATTATATCTAATTTGAAGTCATTTAAAAAGTTTTTGAAGAAATTTTTGATAAAATATGATCCACCATGAGGACTATTATTTTAATTAATGGACCTGTAACATTGTAACATTTATCTATCAAACTTGCATTTAATTTCTTTTCTGTTGTTTAACTAATTACAAATAGTATTAGATATTATTTTGTTTTCGTGGACTTGTTACATTGGTTTATGTATGTAATCCATCAAATTTACATTTATCTTTCATTTATGTTTAATTAATAAAAGTATATAAATTGTATTTAACTGTTCAGTGATCACGGTGGCCTTCACAAGATTATTTTATCTTATGTGGTCTCCGGAATCAGCTGTCTGATGGATTTATTTTCTTTTAAATTTTTCTTTCAGTTGGTTCAAATAAAGTATTTTCGTTCGTATTTTCGTTCGTTAAAAGTTTATTCAATCTTAAATTAGCCCATAAACACTAGCTAAACTCAAAGACACAAGTCAAGTTTACGTTGCCTTCGGTGTGCTTTGTGTGTAGCTATAATTCAACATAACGCATCCCAATAAAAAAACAATGCCACCGAAAATATGTAACACCACCAGAATAAATGAATAATCTGCCCAAGGGTCCGCTGAAACGCACACGTGAACACATTAACTCAAACACGAAATGCAATTTTCTGTTGCCATCGGTGTGTTGGTGGGAAGGTGTTAGGGTTAGGGTTTCAAAATGTTTTTCTCTACTGATTTATTAGGTTTTTATTAGTTACAGGTTATACTGGTGTGCTCGTTTCCGGTTTTATTATAAGACCTAAGCAATCCAACATTCACTCCAGCGCTGAACTTATCTCATAATTTATCAGGGGGCGAGTATTTATTTCATTTATTTTTTTATTGAAATGGTAGTTTTGCGAGCAGTACTGCAAATGAAAATGAAGCGAAAGGTTGGTTGTCGAGTACTTATTGAGAGGTTCCCGCATAAATCAACATTTTTTTAAATGGCACTCAAGAGAGCAATGCCGCAAGCACTAACAACGCGGACGCACGCTGGCACAACACACGGACACAACCCATCTGTCGTATAGGCATATATAACACACAACCAATGTCCGATAACAAACATACTACATTGAAAATTGTTAAGGATTACAAAAAAACTTTTGCTGTATCAAATAAAAATGAATGGAAGAGCAATTACAAATTTTGTTTAATATATGAATAAGTTAAAAAACAATGATAAACACATGATACAGAGTATTGAAAAACTGAATTAATGGAGGCCGAAACTGAAAAAGTAGTGATATATATGTATGTATATATATATATATATATATATATATATAATTTGTTTTTTCAATTTTCCTTCCAAAAAATTCTAGTAAGAAAAATTTACAAGACAAACTTCAAATTGATTGATGCCAACAATTTGGTAGAACTTACACAACACTTTGTAGATAAATATGTACAGAAGCAGTGGTGAATGGGAGGAGGCAGCTTCCCACCAGACCGGGAGAGAAGAAAATATTCAAAAATCCATGTAAAATATGCAAATTGTAAGTATGGCATAATGAAAGGTCATTAACACGAAAATTTTTTAAATCATACTCCTATCGAAACGAGAATTAAGCAGAGGAATTACGGGGAAAATTCCGCAAAATTTCGGATTCGTTCACCGCTGCACGGTCACCAACTCACATTTGTTACACAATTGCATCTGTTATCACACACTCAACACAAAGGGAGCACGTATTCGTGACGCTACGTTCGTTGCATATTCAATTGTTGCTATCGCATTGAAAGCTAACGGGTAGGAGGCTGCCGCATGTTTCGATGCAAACATTGGAAAAATTCATTTTAAAATTTAAGTTGAACGTGTCATGGAAAAAAACGAGTATCGTTAGAAAAATAAAATGTAAAAATATAGGAGAGCTTATTTGTTATCCATGCTGATCAAGATGACAATGCTGATAGAGGTGGGAGATGAAGGGGCTGAAGATGAAGGGGTTGGAAGATGGAAAGATAGTTCTTCATGTGGAGGATCATTTAGCGAGTTTTGCGGTTCATAAAATGTTGTCCTCTAAACATTGTTTATTTGAAATGTTCAATGATGTTGTATTTCATTTCAATAAACAACGAAAATGTTTCTCTTGCAGGACGAAAAGAATCAAATCATGAAGTCCAATGTCTGGTTGAGAATGGTAGGTATATTTTTTCTATTCTTCTATATATGTGTTTGTATGTGCGTGTGTGTGCGTGTTTGTGTTTGTGTGTGTGTGTGTGTGTGTGTGTGTGTGTGTGTGTGTGTGTGTGTGTGTGTGTGTGTGTGTGTGTGTGTGTGTGTGAGTGTCAAGTATTCTTATATAAAATATGGAAAATAAATTATCAAATTATCAACACGCACTCAATCTACGGATATTTTTCATTTGCATATCTACGGATATTTTTCATTTGCATATATTTTAATTAGCGTAGCAGATGTTTCTATAATGGTCATTGAGTCATAACACCGACTAAAATATTGATATGGGATACCCTCTTAAATATTTACTGTTCAATTAATGATCGCTTGAATGCATTTTTTCATATTGAAAAATGATTTAAGAATGTTTTTTTATTGTTTCTAAATTAAGAATTAACTACCCGCTAACCAAACTGATTTCCTCTCCGATTCCATGATTGACATTTTTCGACTCCAACTTCCAACTCCCAATTCCAACTTTAAAACATTTTTCATTAGTATTCAATAAATGAAAGTGTCATTTAAAGAAATTTTCCCACTTTTGATGAATTAAAATATAATTTGAAAAATATTTAAAGTAGGTTAAGATTATATTTTTCATTTGTTAGTATATAAAAAAATTAAATGCCACAGTTTGGTGTGTTGTTTTGCAATGCAGATAGATGACTGTGCAGAGGAAATCATCGTCCTTGAGCTGCGTCGAACGCACGGGTTCTTCATTGTTTGCCTCTTGCGGCTAAAATTTTAAAATTTGTTTTTGTAGATTTAATGCAAAAGTTGAACCCAGTGATCAAATTAGTAAACAATTTGCTACTTTGTTTTAAAACTTATTTAAAATTTTCCTAAAAATTTGTAGCTTAAATTATGAAAGCTGTTTTTTCTGTTTTACACTCCTGTTTTATCAATGCAAACAATAAATAAAACTCAGAAAATTTTTATTTATAATATTAACGTATTTTCTGTAAAATTATAAAAAAAAAACAACTAAGAAGTTCGTCCACAGTTTTCCCGCTTAGAGCTCATAATTTTTTAAAAGTTGTTTGCAGAGTGTGTTTGGTTGCACTCATTGTCACTATTACAGATGACGTGTCTCATTACGACCTTCTATGAAAAAAACTTAAAGTATTATTTTTAGAATATGAATTAAAAGATGTTCGAACTTTCAAAACTCATTCCGAAGCCCGATAAAAACCTTCCGAGTTTAGCTTCGCAGAAAGTTCTGATTTCGAAGCATTAGTGAAGAGTGTTGATAGATTTAAGGAAACAGCAAACTTTATTTTAAATCAAAAAAACTAAAGATCATACAAGTCTACCAAAAGACCAAAAAAGCAAAGAAATCAAATGTAAAAACAAACATCAAAATTATGAAATATGTTGATTCTTGTAGTTATAAAATGTGAATAATTGTTATTTGACTTTTTGAATCATTACAACAATGTTCGAAATAGTTGTACTTAGCAGAGAATCTATAACATAAGCATGAATGAACATGAAAAGAACAAAATATGTTGATACAAGCGTCGTTTTATAAAATTTTTAATATAAAATTTTATATTTGGCGCATCCACATCGATCCAAAACTAAATTTTTTGTATCCAATTTTGTACACTCCTCCTTCCTCCTGTCTGGCTTGTTGGAAATGAGTGAAGACAAGCAGTTCAACCGTGCAGTGACCTGCAGCACTCAACATGCCCGACACCAGACTTCCACGACTCTTCTGCAACAAACAAACAATCAACTATGATAGACCAGCTATATACACCCTAGTTCCATATAACAAAAGAGAAAATATTTTTTGTTGTCAATTATTTAATTGATGAGCGTCATGCATTTAAAAAATTTAATTCAATTTAAACGCAGAGAAAATAATTTTTACAAACAGTAAGGCAGACTTTAAATACTTTTTTTAATTTTTTTGAAGAGTGTAACTTATAATAGCTAACAAAAGTTTGTGACATTACAACTTAATCGATATTTATATTATTATTACTGTTACTACTACTAATACTCTTTACCATATTATTATTAAAATTATTACTATTACACAGCTTCTTCTATTACAATGCTACTGCCACCAATAGTTCTACTATTTCTATTATTGATTGCTGTAAAGGACTGCAGTATTACATCATGCCATAAAACTTTAAAATCAAATAATTAAAATTTAACCTGTTGAAATACAGCTGAAATTTAACCAGCTGAAATCTTGAATATTTTGTGACCAACAAATGAATGAAAATCATTGTTTGTAATTGCTATTAACATCATTTACATCGGCATAACAATCCCGATCTGGACAGATTTGGACGGACTACCAGCTGCAGTGGGACCCCACGGATTACGGGGGCATCACGACCATCCGCACACTGCCCGATAAAGTGTGGAAGCCCGATATTGTCCTTTTCAACAAGTTCGTATGCTCGCTTCTCTTTTTTTTAAGTTTTTACTTTTTGTTCAATCAATCAATCAATTAGCTTATAAAGTGCTATTTCCGCGATGTTCAACAGCGCTCCTCAATGAATTTTGAAAACAGATGGGTCTTGAGATCCGCTCTGAACTTTGCAAGTGATGGAGAAATAGTCAGAAAAGTAGGTGAACCAGAAAAAGCAAAAGCAGATTTGGCAAAAGAGTGTTTAACACGAGTTAAGAAAAAGCGAGAACAAGAAGACGATCGTAAACCGGGGCGTTTAGGTTCAATTAATATACCTGATAAATACTTAGGAAATAATTTAGATTAAGACTTATACATGAACGTGCAAATTTTAAAAATTATTCTATATTTTATAGGTAGCCAGTGCAAGAAAACAAGATATGGAGATATATGAGAAAAGAAAGGGGATGAGAAATGAGAAATACGAAAACATTTAAAACATTTATTCAATCTGCATATAATTTTAAAAATCAAATGCATGAGATGTATTTTTTTTTATAAATACTCTTTTTGAGTTTATTTTTGAAGCAACTACTATAAATGCTGCTCGAAATATGTAATTAGTTAGCTCAGTTTACAAACTAAATAAAATTAAACTGGAATCGAAATGGCATTTGTGCAAAGTGCCGACGGCAAGTACGAGGTCTCCTACAAACCGAACGTGGTGATTTTCCACTATGGGAGCATTCTGTGGATCCCACCAGCCATCTACAAGTCGTCCTGCACCATCGACGTCAAGTACTTTCCATTCGATCAGCAGAGGTGCGAAATGAAGTTTGGTTCGTGGACTTTCAATGGAGACCAGGTAGGTGGACAGCTCCTTCTCTGTCATATATGTCTTCTTTTTTAAGCGCTTCCAACGAACGATAAATCGAATGAATGCATTCATTTTAAAACATGCACCTTTTTAAGATCTTGACAAATTTTTAATAATCCAAATGTCGTTACTCATTTGCACAAAAGGAAAATTACATTAACAAACATCTTACTACAAAAATTTAAATTCTTTAATTTGTTTCCGTAAAATATTGTAAAAGTTTTCTTAACTTAGAACACTCACTAAACAAATTTGATTACCTAGTCAGCAATTAACCTTAGAAAATTTTTTTAACTATAATGTCGCTTATTTAAATTATAAATTGAATGGTAATAATTATTTTGGTCTCTTAACAAACGCCTCAAAAATCATAAGTGCAAAAATGAATAAATGTAACAGCTTATAGGGAAAAAATCATTTATTTTTATATAAATATGAACATAAACTTGTAACTTTTCTATAATAAAATTTCAGTTTGCAAAATTAATAAATTTGGTTTAATAAAATAAATGGTTAGACTAATTTAAAATTTAAATGCTAGGTAGTTCTTGATTGGTATGAAGGCCAGGACCAGGTCGATCTGAGTGATTACGTGAGCAGTGGCACGTGGGACATTATTAAATGCCCTGGTGAATACAACCACACGTACGATCTCGTTGAAAAACACAGCAAAGCTCAAATAACTTTTTTCCTATACATCAGACGCAAAACATTGTTCTACACTGTCAACCTAATCATTCCGTGCGTCCTCATCAGCTTCTTGAGTGTTTGCGTATTCTACCTACCAGCTGATGCCGGCGAGAAGATGACCATGTGCATCTCAATATTGCTGGCTCTCGTGGTTTTCCTGCTACTCGTTTGTAAGATATTGCCGCCGACTTCACTAACAATTCCTTTGATTGCCAAGTATCTTCTGTTCACATTCATTATGAATATCGTCACCATCCTAATCACAGTCATCATCATCAACTGGAATTTCAAAACTCCTCGAACTCATAGTATGCCCAAATGGATTAGAATTGTTTTCCTCAACTACCTCCCTAAATTGTTATTCATGAAAAGACCACACCACGAAGAAAGATGGTTCAAAAAAACATACAGCAGGAGAAACCGGCTTTCTCATTTTCCTGACCCAAGGCTTTTGAGTCAACAAGTCGACGTTAGCAGATTTATTTCATTTTGAAGCTGAATATTTATATTTTAATAACCCTTCAATCATTTTATCATGTGTTACATTACTGCACAGCACGTTTTTTCATTTGTTGCACACTTCCATCCAATGTTATAGGCCACCAGTTCTCGATTGTTGAATCCATCAGTAGTCCTCCAGCCGGCCACCAGAGCAGGTGAGCGCGGCTTCACTGGTCCAATCAAACACACAATCAGCCAGTCCACGTTGGGTGACCATTATTATTAGTTATTACAATTTAATTGAATAAAATTCGACTACGTGTAACGCACTGTAAACGTTTATCAGCGAGATCACTTCTGCACGAAAAACGAACTATTTTACTTTCTATAGCAAAGCAGACAAATAAATCTTGTTACTCAGTTTAAGCAAGATTTAAATCATTTAAATACAACCATGAAAACGTCATTTTGACAATACTCATGCGATAGCGTTCTCACAACTATAAATTCAACAGGAACGCTCAGCAAAGCTTGAAACACCATTTAAACCTCAGTTTGTTTTGTATTAAGTAACCATAACTTTTAATACTTATTAAAAAAAACAAGCTAATCCGACGTAGGTACTTCGTAACGTCTTAAAATAGTAAATGTTATAACAACTGTTTAGGCGAGCTTTATTAACTTAAATAAAAAACAAATTAAAATAATTAATATAACATTTTATAAACAGCTCTACGCATAATTCAAATTAATATATATGGCTGTCGTTAACTTTATGTGAGTTGCAAAGACTCTTAGCGTCAAACGAATTGTTTCCTAAACACAAATGTTCAGTTGCCACAGAGTTGTCAGGGATTTTTTCAAACAGATGAACCAAAAAATTTCACTCATAATGAACATCGTTTTTGGTACCGATATGAACATCGGGATTTCAGTGGTTCTCACACAGACACTAGTCTACTGAACCACTTTAAACCCTGTTATGCTGTGTTAGGTCGTGTCATGTTATGAATGATATATTTCAGTATTTATGATATATTTTAGTATCTATCACAATCGTGGATTTCTGAATTACTTCCCCAAAAATTCAAAATTTTCCTATAATTTACAAATAATTTTTCAAGATTCCTATATAGATTCAAGATTCTAGATTCCTCGTTAATTTTTTGATGTACGATTATTCCGAAATTTGATAAATTTGTTGTATATATAATTTTGCTCTTACTATTCTATACATTATATATATATCTGTATTATATATATATATATATATATTATATATATATTATATATATGTATATCTATTATGTATATATATATATATTATATATATATATACGATTTATTTATTTGTTTGTCTGTTTGTTCGTTATTCTATTTGTCTATCCATCTTTCTTTCTTTTTATCTTTTTTTCTATATATCTATTTATTTATTTATTTAATTTATTTGTTATATACATTTAGTTTTTAAAATAATCTATTAAATTGACAAATCACTATCAAATATTAAACTAATTATTCGATAATATTGTTAGGACTGCACAATTTGTACGATTCTCAAGAGCTTTCGTGCCATTTTGTTGAGGATCTGCCGCATTCACCACAGGCTTCCGTGAGAAGGAATGAACTGAGAAGCAGTTGCCTAACAAACAACATGGGTGGAGGGAACGTTCGGGGGAAGGCCAGTGAAATGCTGTCGGCTGGCTCGAGTAGTCAGATGTATGCTCAAAAGAACTGCTACAGTGGAGGTGAGGCAGTTTATCACGGAGCGAGTTTAGATAGGAACATGAGACAGGACGTTCCAAGTCCTGGCTTCAACATGACCGCTGAAACACAAAAAGCTATCGACGCCGTTCGATTCATTGCTGCTCATCTAAAAAATGAGGACGATTACGCAGAGGTAAGTCTTGCTAGCCTTGATGTAGTGATGCGGGTGAAGTATGTTGTCATAATTGATTAATTGGTTGACTGATTGACTGACTGATTGATTGGTTGATCGATTGGTCAATTGATCGATCGATCAATCGACCAACCGACTGACTGATTGATTGGTTGGTTGGTTGGTTAATTGGTTGGTTAATTGTTTGGTTGCTTGGTTGGTTGACTGTCCGACTGACTGACCGACTGACTGACCGACTGACTGACTGACTGACCGACTGACTGACCGACTGACTGACTGGCTGACTGGCTGGCTGGCTGACGGACAGACTAACGGACTGACTGACTGGCTGGCTGGCTGGCTGGCTGGTTGACGGACGGACTGACGGACTGACTGACTGACCGACCGATCGACCGACCGACCGACCGACCGACCGACCGACCGACCGACCGACCGACCGACCGACCGACCGACCGACTGACTGACTGACTGACTGATTGATTGACATCAACAGTCTTGTGATGTTATTATGTAGTATGGAATAAAGTTTCAACTTTATTTGGTTATTTAAATGGTTTTGTACAATATATTATTTATTATAATTGTTACTATTTTAAAATAACATAATTCAATTCAATACTAAAATTTCATGGTTATACGTGTATTTAAATATTGTCACATCAAATACATTATTTTGTTCCAACCAGCCAATTTAGCGGGAAAATATATATTATATCATTGTCGTCACATTTAAACACATGCATTCTGAATCAGTACAAATTTAATTTTTGTTTAAAAACAAGAATCAAATAGTCATAAAAAATCTTCTTGAAGATAAATATTTTAAAAATATTATTCCAGTTGCAGATACTAGCATAGGTTTTCCTAATTTTTTTTATTTTGTTATGATACATGCATAGATACATAGGTAGCTACGGACGGAACTGTTGATTGACTGAAAATAATCTGGTGTGGAAGCAATGAAGCAACTGGACAGATTTTGTTTCCTTTTACGCATCTGTGCGTGCGTCTGTGTTGCGTGCAAATGTGCATATGTGGCGTTATGCGTGTCGGCTTGTTATGTGCAGAAATATCTTTTAATTTTTATGTTCGGCTATTTGTGCCCGTGTTGGGTATTTGTTTGCAAAGTCTGATTTGCTAAAATGTTTTCTAAATTTTTAAATTATAAAAATAAATTGGTGTAAATGTATTTTTATTCTACAATAAAAACAGTTGACATGCTCCAGTAAAATGGCAAGGTGTATGCAACCGCACACGAAATGTTCCATCATTTTATTGTTTACGGTTGCCATCGAGTGCTCATAAGCGAGAACGTTGGACATTTTTCAAGATCGCATCCAACGTGACCAGCATGAAAACTCTTTATTATGTGAGCAAGCGAGGAAAAGTACGTAACCAAATACGTAAATAAACATTGTTTTCAATGTCCTAACCTGGTTGTCCCTCTTTCTGAGAGCGTGAAATAATGTTGGGCGCCTACACCGTGTACAAATGTCTATCTTGGTTGCAAACACGTCTGCATGGTCTACAAATATATTTACTAGATATTTGGTAATGTTATTTCGTATAAGATTTTAATTAGAAAACTTAGGTTTAAACTTGTACGTTTAAATTGTATGTTATATGTTTGTACGCACAAATTATTTGAACAAGTTAAAATATGTTAAAATCTTGAAAGTAAACAATAAACATTTTGAGAAAATGTTTGATTTGTTTAACAGCTTTAAATTGTCAACATTAATGTGAAGATAGTCAATGTCTTCGAACTTGCCAACATTTAATTTAAACCTAATCAATGTGTTTGAACGGCTTTTAGTACATCGTTTGCAAAAATGTCTTACTTGACTTTTTTTATATATCGGGACTATTTAGCTGCAATAGTAAGAAATTTTTCGTCGGATGAACTAACAATTTATGGAAGATTTCCGACAATAAAGTCTGTTTTGACGAGAATCATATCATTTCAAGATTTTGTTACATTTTTGTAAAATTTTGTTAAAATTTTTGTAACATTTTGTAACAACTTTTGTAACATTTTGTAACGATTTTTGTAACATTTTGTAACACTTTTTAAAATTGTCGTTTGGCTGATGTAAGTTTAATTCTGAAATGTTATTCAATTTTTTTATTGAAATTTTTTATTTCAATTTTATTTGATTTTAACTTTACTTGATATCATCTGGATTGAAGGCACGCAACGTTGATTGGTCACGTGAGATCTCTGCTGGTATCCCATTAAATAGATAGCCATTGTGAATTAGCATGAGGATAAATCTGCTGAATTTATATGATTTGAATTTGTTCTAAAATAAAATGTACAATAAAAATATGCAAATATACAAATATGTAAATGTTCATAAATATGTATATTAGTGGATGACGTTAATTACATGTTGCTCCATTTAAACTTATCAGCGGATAACAGTACGTTTTTATGACTGAAATGTGTTTTTGTTAACTACATGAAAAGAACCTTAGTTTGCATTTTTATCTACTGAAATAATAAAAGTGCTAATTTGATGTTTTAACTCGGGCTACTGATAAATCTTGTAAAAGGACAAATTACATCTAGCATAAAACGAGTTAAGTGTTTACAATAATGCATCTTTGGTAGTGGTGAGAGATGGTGGACAGTATGTACTCATATTGGACATAGATAAACTCATTTACTTACAGGTCAACATATCATGCATATACGTATATATATATATATATATATGTGTTAATTTATATATATATATATATGTTTATTTATATATATACGTTTTTTCCCAGTGGAATTTTTTCGATCACAGTACATAAAATTTGAAATAGTGTTTGCTCAAGCGGGTTGTAAAACAACTAAACAAATATTTGATTCCTATGCTCCACTGAACCTGCCAAAAAACTAAAAATAAGAAATCATGAAACACAAAAGATATCATAAAGTTATCAAATAGACAAAACGGATTGAACAGAAATTATTTGTTCAACCCAACGCCCATTGATCTTTTCAAATACAAACATTTTCGCATCAAATTTTATTATTATGAACAACAATTTACTCAAAGCAAAATTTGATGTTAAACGAAAATAGACACTAATAATAATATCTTAAAATAAAAAAATTCGAAATAAACAGAAAAAAAGGAAGGAAAAAATGAAAAGAAGTAAACCAAAATATTATTGACAAAAAAGGATCAAATATGCAATGCATTTAATCACCATTATATAAATGTAACCAAGAATCTACTGAAAGATCGAAAATCCATATAACCACGATGAAAACTATACACTTTACAATAATATTTCTTTCTTGGGCAATATTTATTGAACCCACCGACGGGCAGGAACCACAGCGAAAAACGTGAAAAGCAAAAAAATGTTTATCTTTATTATATAATTATATTATTAGTATTATATAATTATACCAGTTATCTCATCCAACAGATATTCAACTAAAAATATATAGGCTGGAAGGAGAACTAATTGATGCAATCTTTGATAAAATCTAGCGAATTTTTAGCTTTTGAAAATTTACTATTGAGCTTTTCAATATTTTTAACAGTAATTTTCCAATTCATTAAAATTAATAAAACAATCGTTGGTGTCCATGTGAAGCGTAAAGGCCATATTTTGATTTTATAACAACTACAAAACAGCTACCATCCAAGAAACCATCAACCGTAGGCTACAACACTTCAATAATAACATCAACAAACAAGGCGAGAATATAATTTTCTTCTAAAGAAACTACATGTCATCTGCATTTAAAACGAACGATGTATTAAAACGGTTTGGATATGATAAGAAGAAATTACTACAAATAATCCGATGAGGGAGTTAAAGTTTTTGGTCACATCATGTGGAAGGAAAAAAAAGAAAATCTATCAGCTACTGGAAAAATTGCAGGAAAAAGAAGTCCTTGTGTCACTTATTGATTATCACCACATTTCAACTACTACAAGGTGTTAAAAATCGGGTTTTGTGGATGTCGACGGTCGCCCATGTCCTGAAAGGATAAAGCATGAGAAAGAAGAAGAAGACTAGTATAATATACAGTAACAAGGACCACAGCTATCTAAGAATTGCTGAAGTGATCTTCACTGACCACATAAAAACAAAAAATTAACAAACAGCAAAGAACTGCAACATCATTAACGACCAGAAGAATGTTATTGAAGGAATGAACAGAACAAGGTTATAATAAATAGACAGAACAAAAATAAATTGTACAAAAAATTATAACCGCACAGGACAAAACAGAATAAAAGCACTTTGCACAAACATTGAAATATCCCTAAATAAGCACTGATGATGAGTAAAATTTAAATCATTAAAGGGCTTGGCTCCAAAATATTTGTCTAGTAGATTTATAAGGAAAATATCCACATTGAATTTCAGTTTGAAATCAGACGATGCGAGCCTTTTGATGGTACCAGTTAATCGTTTGCAAATAGGATTGCGTGACATTGCTGTTGCTGGTCCGATGGTTTGGAACGCTCTGCCGGAGTTGCTAAGAAGACCTGGAAATTCTTTGAACAATTTAAAAAAAAATTGATAACCTATTTATTTTTATTGGTTTAACATTTAGTATTTTTTTTAATATTTCACTCGTGTACTGTTTTATTTATGTGAGTGCTTTTGAGATTGTTTACTTAATTAGCGCTATATAAATGAACATTAATAATATATATATATATACATACATTTATTTATATATATATGTACACATATATTTTAACATATATTACGTAACATTAATAATTAAAATTGTAAACTAATTAACGCTAAAATGTAAACGCTTTCATAAAAAAACTGTTTAGGATAAGGTCTTCTACCCTATATATATATATATATATATATATATATATATATATATATAGTTTGCAAATAGCTTTTTCGAGTTATAGATAACTCATCATCAGTGCATTATATATAAGGTACATTATATATTTACCTTATATATAATGCATTGAAGATGAGTTATCTATAACTCGAAATAGCTATTTGCAAATTTA